ATATATATATATATATATCTANTCCAAAGTTAGGTCTTGTGCGTACTCATTTGGAACTTTAGTCTATCATGTAATTTCCATCTTGATTTGCCCCAAGGGCTCTCCTTATGACCTATATCACTTCAAATACACCTCGTATACTTTATTATCATATCCAATTAATATCCATCATATTAATAGTCCACGTCTGCACATAAAATATTAGCATACATCAACCTTCTTAATAGCGTTTAAGTACTTCGAAATTCTTCGGGTTGCTGCAATATCATATATACAGTATAAACATTAATTAACACATTGCAAAAATCCAGCGTAGAACAAATTTTATTATAGTCTACCTTTACCATATATTGTATACACAGACTAGAAAGAAAGAAACACCATTAACAAATATATTGTACACAATATAATATATACAAATAACGTATATTTTGTATCAATTACAACAATAAAAGAAAAAGTATAGTACAATGTATAATCAACTCTCTTGTCCTTTCCATTGTTTTTGTTCGCAACAACAGTTGAATGCATTTATACCCATTTTTTCTTCATTTGTAGTTATTAAATTCACACAAATCAAAAACCCTACAATCTATTGGAATCAAAATATGAAGAAGTTTTGGGGTGTTTAATATCAACAATGGGAAGAAAAAAAAGTTACGCCTACAAGTGGAAGAGTATGATAGTAATGGTTTCTGAATTTGGGTATTGCGAGATCATCGAATATTGAAAAGAGGGAACATTGATAAGATTGAAATATGTTGAATAGTAAACTGATTTATTTTTCCTATTTTAACGCCCTAACTTGAGGAAAGAGATATCTTTTAAGTGAGAGAGAATCTCAAAGAAGAGATTTTAGGATATAAAAAGTTGTACATAATTTAACTAAAAAGATAAAATTTTAAAATAAGTTGTACTAAAAGGAATTTTATAAAAACAGTTGTAGAGAATATAAATAAGTGTTGTATTCTATGTAAATTCCTCAATAATATAAAAGAGAAACCTCACTTTATACCCATTAATTCCAAACTATTTACCCTTTAATGCCCAGGCCCAAACTATTTACTACTCCTACCCATGGCCCCCAAACTATTTACCCGCCTTTAATATGTTCCTCTTCTTCTTCCTCATTTTACCTTCCTCCAATTCTCCGTCTCTTTTATATTTCTTCTTAATTATTCTTACTGTAATCGCCACTAGCTAGTCACATCAGCAACACGTAATATTCGTTCTTATTCGACCTTAATTTAGTTTTAGTTTCAATGGAATCTTACCAATTTGGATATTGTTTTCTCTCGCTCGGTTTTCTAATGGAGTACTCATTAATTGTTGAAGTGGTGCTATTATTTGAAGATTTATTGTTTGATTCGATGTGGTGCTATAAAATATTGCTTATAGTATCTTCGAGTAAGCTTCCCAGATCTAAATTTTTATGTGTATTTGAATATCCACCATTGTTGGGCTTGAAGCTCAATTTTATTTTTGAAGATTTCTTATTTGATTAGAATTGGGTGCTGTTAAATATTGTTTATAGTACCTTATGGAAGTTCATACTGAAATTTGATAGCGTTTGGAGCTTATTTGAGGTGATTGAGATCGAAATTTTCAGTTGAAAATCGAAGAAGAACACAACTACAATATACCGCTACGGTATACAATATGTTGTAGGAGTATATAGCTATATTGCAACACTATACTATTATAGTTTACAAAACAGTATACCGCTATAGTGTACTAATATACTATAGGAGTATATAGTTATACTGTAACAATATACTATTATAGTATACAATATATTGTTATGGTATACTGTAATAATATGCAAGATACTGTAACAATATGCTGTAATAGTATACAATATACTATAATAGTATACTTATTACCCGTAAATTCACTTGTCTTTTCCCTTTTAATTTGTTGTAAGCTTTTACCCAAGCGTGAGGGGCAAACTGAAAACGCAAAATAAAATAAAATTATAGTATGCTATATGATGTAACGGTATACTCTTACAATTAGATCCTTTTAGAATTTTTAAATTTTTTTTTTTTTGACAACTGATATTATTTCAGTTTAATAATTGAATTAAAAAATTTCTAACTCTTTGCGTACAATTGTATACCCTGTTGGTATAGCTATATACTATACTGGTATCATATGTTAGTTAATATTTTTTGGGTGTATTAACTACATTTAATTGGTACACAATTTGATTTTTCTTTAGTAATTTATAAAAAAAAAGAATAATAAAAAATAGTGAAAACAGTAAATGAAATGAGATTATGAAGAGAAAAAGAATATAAAAAAATAGAAGTTAAATGAAATTAGAAAAGGAAAAAAGAAAAAAAATAAGAAGAAAACGAGGAAAAAAAAGGAGAAAAGAAAAAGAAAAAAAAAGAATTGAAGAATAAAGAAAAAATTCCCTACAAAACCTACTATGGATAGGAAATGTAATTAGTTTATGGGTAGAAAAACAAATGGATAGATAAGGATAAATAGTTTTATTTTTGTGGGTAACTGTGTCAAAACCCCATAATAAAAGTGAAAAGAGGAAACCGTCGTAGGCAATTATGCAGCAAGTCCCAGTCAATAACGGCCCATAGGCCCACACGCTACGGCGGCTAGCGGTACGGACACCCCATTTTCCACGTGAGCCCACATAGTGGCGTTGTTTTAACGCTATAATATAAAAATACTAATCATTGACTTCTCAATCAAACCTACTGTTATTTAAAAAAAAAAAAAAAAAAAAAAAGCACCACCAAGGTTTCATAAGAGACAAACTTTTCTAATGAGAGTAAGTAAAAGTTTTACGCACATTAACGATGTATAAATATATACACAATTAATTTTTATAATTTTTTGAAAAACTTATGCACGTAAAAAATTAAACTCACTTAATATGACATTTTATCAGTTATACGAACTAACAAGGATAATTTAATATATTTTCACTTTAACTTGTAACTTAATTTTAGTAACTTGATGTATTTTGATGGAAAAAACGAAGAAACACCTTTGTATGCATCAATTAATGAATATAAACTATTTGTTCAATCATATAAAGTTTATTGCTCAATTTCTATAGTGACACAAATATTGTTTCATTCTGTCTTTTTTTTCTTGAGCCGAGGGTCTTTCAGAAACAGCCTCTCTATTTCTTCGGGGTAGGGATAAGATCTGCGCACACACTACCCTCCCCAGACCCCATTAGTGAGATTTTACTGGGTTGTTGTTATTGTTGCTCTATCATTATTAAATAATATACATTTAGCTTGATTTTGTAGTAACTCTTAACATTAAATTATTGAGTTTAAATAAGTATTTTGCAAAATGGACATAAACAAGTTTTTTCTTCGATCTATGGTCCTTAGAGAGTTATAGCCTGTTTGGCCAAGCTTCGTTATGGCCAAAAGTGCTTTTTTGGGGCCAAAAATTAAGGTGTTTGGCCAAGCTTTTGAAAGGAAAAAAAAGTGTTTTTGAGGAGAAGCAGAAGCAGTTTTGGAGAAGCGGAAAAAAATAGCTTCTCTCCAAAAACGCTTTTTTGAGAAGCACTTTTGGGAAAAATACACTTAGAAGCAATTTTTTAAAGTTTGGCCAAACACTAATTGCTGCTCAGAAGTGTTTTTCAAACTAATTAGCCAAACACAAACTGCTTCTCACCAAAAGTACTTTGAGAAAAGCAGTTTTAAAAAAAACACTTCTCAAAATAAGCTGATTTTTGCAGCTTGGCCAAACGGGCTATTAGAGGCAGAAGAAGCCTTTTGACAATAACGGATTTGGTGTGATGGATAAGCAAAAATAATTATGAGATAAAATTTAATATGCTCTTATCCTTTGTTTGGTTATTAATTCTGGAATAAGGTATCCCAAAATTAAAAATAGTATTTGGATAATTTATACCTTTCGGAAAGTGAAATAGTAATTCCGGGATAAAACAGTGAAATTGACAATCACAGATTAATACGACATACCAAACAGTCAATAAAAAATAATACGAGGATAACTAATCCTAACATAACTAATCATAGTATAACTAATTTAAGCATAACTAATCCCAGCATAACTTGTCTTCAAACCAAATGACCCCTAAGAGTCTATTTGGTCAAGCTTCTAGGAGGCTAAAAGCTTCTCTTTTTTTGTTGAAAAAAATACTTTCTTGAAAATTTGAAGTGTTTTGCTAAAATAGAGAAGTGCTTTTGAACAGTAATAAAAGTAGTTGTTTTGCGCAAAAATTCTATTTGTTTCTAAATAGCATAAGTTAAAAGTTAATTTTTTCTATACAAATTTATTCTTACTATAAATTTATGTATTTTAAATTATCTCTCATTAATATAACATTATTTTTGTTTATATCATCATGTTTTATTTCTACCATATGTATTCCTCTTCAAAATAATCTCTCCACTAGAAATAGATCTCTTCTTTTTTTCTTCTATCAACTTTTGTTTTCTTCTTTAAATAACAAATCTAATCACCAGATTAGAACATTTTCTTCACAAGGTTTGATTTATGTTTAAAGTGTACTAAATTATTTTATGTTTTATATTTAATTAAACAAAAATACATAAATTATATTCTATTATAATTTAAATTCATTCACTTTTTAAATAATTATAAACTGGATTTTGATACTATCCTTTTTCATAAATTGACACTCAAAAGTATTTTTGAAAAAATTGTCCAGGTACAATTTACTTATCATACGGCAAAAATCATTTTTGAAAAGCACTTTTGAACATAATTGGCCAAATCAAACTAATATTCTCCAAAATTACTTTTTTCCAAAGCACTTTTGAAAAAATACTTTTCAAAATAAATAATTTCGACACCAAACGGACTCTAAGTTCAACTTAACTCAATATTTAAACATAAAATTTCATAAGATATTAGTTATCAAACCCGTAATTTAAAGAACAAAATGAATTTGTGCAAAAAACTTTACCGTAAGTATTAACCCTTCAAATTTAAATCACGGAAAACTTTATTCCCAACAACCCAAGAAAGAATTCTCTTTTAAATGGAAGCCCAGCCACCAAAATTGTGACTGCTCCCAACTCATATCCCTCAAATACTCAGCAAGACAATATCGTACTTTGTTTTCTCCATTTTTTTTGGGATAAGAAAATTAGAGAAAGACAGTAATGTCAGGAGGTATAGCCCGTGGCCGTCTTGCAGAGGAGCGCAAAGCTTGGCGCAAAAATCACCCCCATGTTAGTTTTTATATTTATTTTAAATTCTTTCTTGATTTCCAATTTTTTATGGTTTTGATTTGTAAATTTTAGTACTTGTTTTTGAATGGTTATTTTGGTTATTTTTTAGGGGTTTGTAGCTAAGCCAGAGACACTTTCGGATGGGTCAGTGAACTTGATGGTGTGGCACTGCTCCATTCCTGGTAAAACAGGAGTAAGTTTTCAACTTTTCATCAACCCCAATCAGTATTTTCTTGTTGTATTTTCCTTATTAGAATATAAAGATTTCAATTTTGCTCTGTTTCCTCACAACAATTGTGACTGTGAATGATCTGTCATGATCAGCAATTAAAGGGTCAGCCAATTTGATTCCTTTTGTTGGTTTTTTATTGCGTCTGTTGTAGTATTTTTGCAGTTACTTATGAATCTTTGTCGAATAACGTGTGTTTTCTCTATGTTACTGGATTGAAGCCCTTTGATAGGCATCAAATTATAGCTTCTAGGTTATCTTGGTTTTGTTAGCATCATTATGTTTAATTAGGACCCTGTCAAAAGTTCGATGTATATGTTGTTGAAAGATTTGCAGGTTTA